TAGGGAAAATTTAAGCCAAGGTCTGTGTTTGTGACAATGCTCACTCCAGGTACAAAATTAATTTGAGACTACACAATTAGTTAATTCATGAGCTAAAATTATCATAGGAACAAAAGGCCACACAGTTCAGTCTGTCTTTGCAATTAAAGCTCACTGAAATATCATGCATAGGCTATATTTAAAGAAATTAAGCTATAATTAAACTAATTATTAACAGTGGGTTTATCCTTACCATGGTGAAGGAAGGAGGTGGAACAGATAGAAGGGTGCCAGGGACCAGCCAGGCACCCTGTCTGCCTCTAGCCAGCAGTGAGAAGAAAAATTTGCTGGCAAAGCTCAGTTTCACTTGAGGGGGTTTGGGGTGCCAATGCAGACACCCGTTATTGGAGACTGCCGCCTTCCCCGCAGAGCCTGGGCCCTGGCATAGTGCTCAGCTACCTGGTAGCTGGGGATGTTACCCCAGAAATCAAAGGCTCAGCATGCTAAAAGAGGAGTTTCACATGCATCAGAGCTTTAGGAAAACATCGCAAATCCAGCAGGAGGTCAAAAACACTGCAACACTCTCAATGGTTTGGAAATTCAGCACCTGCAGTCAGAGATCACAGCCTGTCCCAATGTCAGTTAATACGGACTGTCTCCATACGTTTAAAAGTTTTTTGAAAGAATAAAACAAGTTAATAGCAAATCAAACACCAGGTGCCAGGGAGACTTTATCTGCCAGCAGACACCGCAAGATATCTGTCACCCTTCCCAAAAAAATAGGTGTTATTACTGAGCAGTAGGTGATCAGATTCCTCTATTTCACTGGGGCAGGCTGAGGGCTGCTGGGCAGAGACTGCCCCAGCCCTGCTCACCCACCAGCCTGACCCGCTCAGCCTTTGCTCTGAGCCAGAGCCACAGGCATCTACGGCTGACAGTGCCCAGGTCTGACCCTGTCCTCGCTCCTGGCCCGGGAGCCAGGGCTCCCTGCAGCCCAAGGAGAGTGGGGCTGGCAAGGGCTGCAGGGATGCTGGCAGCCCCCGGCCCCTGCTCCCTTGTCCCCTGCTGCCATCGTGTGGCCTCCTTGTCCCTTTTTTTGCTTTGGAGGCAGAAGGCAGCTGTGGCCCTCCTCTTCCTTAGGCCCAGCAGCCCTCACCTTGAGCCCATGCACACCAGGGCTGCCAGGATCAGGCCTTGTCGCATGTTCTGGCACCACCCATCCAGGGAGAAGGGGGCTTGGGCCCTGCTCCAGCAAGCCAGGAGGCAAAATATGGCCAAGGAAGGACCCCAGCACCATCCCACAAGCGGGAAATGGAGCCCCCCCAAAAACTCAGGGCAAGGTGAAGGAAACAAAGTCTGAGCCGGTGCCTCTCTGAGCCATTACCCTAAACAGTAGCAAGGAGAAGCGGGGTCGAGCTCCGCACTGCGTCCTGGAAGGTGCTAGCAGCAGACATGGGTGCCAGTGTCTAAAGAACAGGCTTTGGGGCCAGCTTCAGTTTGCCAACTTAAGAGTTTCAATGGTAAAAAACCTAAATTTCCAGATACTCACTTCTCAATGCTCCTATAGACCAGCTCTAGCCCTGAACAGAGAATCTCTTTTAGGTAATAGTTTTGGGTTCTCTGCATTTGTCTTATACCTTTAATGCTGTTAGGAACCCTATTTTCCAACTCCTCAAAGATACTGGTAGCCTCCTACTCCCTTTGTTTTGTTTTGTTTGTTTTTAAGGCAAAGTCTTGGAAAGGAAACCAAACCTTGCAGTTCATGCTGGGGCAGGTTATCTGTCCTTGGGTGGTGAGAACCAGGGGTCTGTCACACTGCTTGGGCCTCTCTATGGTAGGACAGCAGCAAATGGGCACCTGCTTACAGGCACCCTTTAAACTTGACCTTCAGGCCAACATGGCTCAGCACAAGAGGCTTCTTGCACTATTGCAACACCAGCTCAAGTCTGTGCCAGCACCTTCTTTAAGGGTCGTGAGCCAACACACACGCTACTCTAAATCCTAAAATAAACGCGAAACTGGGTCTGATCTCACCTTTTATTCCACAGAAATAGAAACAGCTTCTGATGTTCTCCAGGGAGACAACACCTCTGACCTATTCTCTGCTGGCTTTTATGTCTTGGTATGTCCCACCAGGCCCCAGTGGGGCAGGCACCTGTAGAGCAGTGACAACTGCAATGGTAGGATGCCTGCAGCTGGGGAGTGCTTGGCTCATCCTGAAGCATCAAGCTGGAGCATCAAGCATCTGAAACATGTGAGGGCAGGTATGGATGACAGGTGATAGTGGTGGACAAGATACATCTGCCAAAAAAGCCAGAGTAGAAGATCTACATGAGTTTCTTCGCTGTGGAAGGTTCCCCTGTGCAGGACCATTGCAGGCAAAACCAAGCACTGCAGGGAGATGTCAACATGGCTTTTTAGTAAAGCCCTGCCTGCCAGAAAACCCAGCACAGATGGTCAGCACCTGTGCATGCAGACAACAGAAAATACGCCTGTATTGCTGCAGCTCCATGCATGCCTGCATGTCTCCAGGAGCCTGGGATAGAGGGGGCGGGGGGAGGAAAATGAGAGAGCAAGAGGGATGATCCCAGGTTTGAACTGCTTTCCAAGGAGACAAGGCAGAAGCCAGCAGGACAAAGTCAGAGGGGATGGGGCATATACAGCCTTGACCAGCACAGAGAATAACAAGCAACTGTTCACAGCTACTTCAGCATGGAAAAAAAGGGACACTGAAACAAAGATTGGCACTTAGAGCAGGCAAACCTTTGGGGTTTATGGGTGCAAAAAGGAATAATGAAAATAACAGGGAGGGGAAAAAAAACATTGAGGTCTAACAAAGATGTCAGCTCCAGTTAGCTGCAACTCCCCAGCCACCAGGAAAGCACTGAAGAGTCATTAACTTCCCTGGGCAGGTGCTGTCAGCCCTGCTGGAGAAGGATGCAGGGCTGCACAGCCCACTGTCTGAGTGATAACAGGACAAGGTAAACCAGCTTTCACAAGGCGGTCCTCATCCTTCTGCCTGCAGGGTACCCCAGAGTTGGCTCCAGCCTGCTGTTGCTGGGCAGGGGACAGGTATGGCCTGATCAGCAAATGCAAATGCTTTCTCCCTGCTCTAACAGGTCCAGGTCCCCAAAAATAGGGCTAGGAGGGCCCCAAAAGCCTCTCTCACACTCCCTCTGTTGCAGGCTGGACCAGCTCTACTTTCATTGGTATTGTCACATCTTACCTGTTTTCCAGTCCCAGCACTGAGTCCCACATCCCTCACCAGCAATGCACCCAGTGCTTCATTACCTTGCCCTTCGCAAAGTCTCCCTAAATTTAGCTTCAAGCCAAAGACAGCTGAAATCTAGATAGTCTTTTATACAAGCAAGATACCTACCTTGAAGAGAGGAACAGGACATAATGCAAGAGGAACAGCCTAAGTCACTACAGAACCTCCCCCAGGTTTCTCTCTTAGATCCCCACCTACCCACCCCAAAAGCTTGTTTTCCAGCCCTCTGGTCCCTCTTATGCTCTTCTGGACTCTTCAGCTGTTCTTTGTCATTCCGCATGCAGGACAAAAACACTACATCCAAAACAGCCGTCAGCCCCAAACAACACAGGCAAGTAGCAGCATGTACTCTGCAGGCGTTCGCCTCACTTGCAGTCCTGGGGAGCAGCATCGCTTTCAACACAGCTTGATGCTGGGCTACACCCCACCACAGCCTGTCTCTGCAGAAGGGGGCTGAAATCACCAAAGCCAGCACCAAAGGCTGCAGAAGAGTTTGGGCACATCCAGCACCAGCACCACAACTCTCAGGACCCAAGTCAGGCCCTCAAACCTGAGCTGCTATAGGGAAGCAAAATGCTTAGAAGCCAGATCTGCTAACAAGTGTGCAAAGCAGAATATTTTATTCCTTAAAGACATATTTTTAGCCAACATAGGTATTGAGGCTTCCAGCTTGCGGCAGCTGGAAATAGGAAACATCAGATTTGTACGGCACAAGGTTCTCTAGCAACGTACCTCAGTCATTTCTGTGTCCAGCTCGAATGGCTCTACTGCACCTGCTGCAGCCACAGGGCAAGAGACAACTGGGGAGCTCCTGTCTGTCTCTGGCTAAGGAACACCAGACAGGTTCAACTTCAGCCCCAGTTTCCCCCTCCCTCTGAACAGAGCCAAGCTCCAACACTTCAGACTGTATTTTTTTCTAACCCTCAAATCACTAGGCAGATCAGTTTCAAAAGAAGAAAGCCCCTACAGTCTCACTTAAAAAACAGAAGTCATACAAAAGTGTTCTTCTCCAACATCTGCTAAAAACAGGTCACAGCAGTACACCGATCTCCCCCTTTCCAAATGGGGCATGGGGATCACCCCAGCACACATCTTTCCAAGCCAGTCATTTAGTGCACAGAGTCACAAGTCTGGAAAAGCACAGTGGACTTCCATGCCTCAAACCAGGGCAATGCAGAACATGCTCCAGGCTTGTCCGCAGTTCTCCCCAACCCAGGCCTGCAATGGAGGGAAGGTAATGAATTTGAGATAACGAACATACAGCCACTCTGCAGCAATACAGACCAGAGCCTGCTTTGCCCTGTGCATGCTCCCCTGGCTGAAACCACACACTCGGAAGAGGGCAGCACTCCCCACCTCCTCTCAAAGCAGTCTCTGACCTCCTCTGAAGGTGCCAAGGCTGATGGAGGGAAGGTAGCAGATTGCATGTCCGAACTCTATATCCATTTAGGAGTAGAAACTCATCTTGAAAATCGAGAAGAACCACACTTCTTCCTGTGGGAAGTCTTTTCTTTGAATTATTTGCAGGAGGCATAGAGTTGGTACAGGTTCCTTCTCTCTGCTCTTGCCTCTCAATGGAGGCTCCAGATTGACATATCAGATATTCTCCCTGCATCTTTAGCTTGCAGCTGCATTCAAGGAGCACACTTCAGCCTTAAGTCAGAGAGCCCAATAACAGCAGCAACTGCAGAGCTCTGAGCAGGCCAAACAATGAGAAAATCCTTGTTTATTCTGCAGTAAAAAGGAAGGAAACATACTTGGGTAAAAGGGGCATAAACCAGTCCAAACACTAACCAGAGGCTTGGTCTCCTGTTGGCTTGCTACAACGCTAGGATTCTCCCCAGGGCAGCTTGTCTCACCCACCACACAGCACTGGGGCTTTGCAAACAACGCCAGTCCTCTGCATGGCAGTGGCTGCACATAGCTGTGTGCCCAGGCTGCGGGCAAATGCTCTCCATCCTCCTTGCTGGCCAGCTCCCAGGAAAGATATGGCATCTCACTGCAGGAAGCTGTCCAGTTTGACTTGGCTGCTGCTGGAAGAAGATGCTGAAGGAGCAGCACACACTGACCTGGAGACATTCTTCCTCTTGCTCCTCACTGCTGTCGGACGGATTTCTGTTAGGTTTGTCTGAAGATAAAACTGTCAAGGAAAATAAGATCAAAGCCCAAGGAAAACAGAGAAGCAATCTAGTACCTGCTCCAGATGAGCCAGGATCACAGGTCGGGGGTCTAGCAATACGTTCCCACTCAGAGAAAGTAACTCCCTGCAGGACAAGCAGGATCTTGGCTTTGCTCCCTACCTACAACAGCAGAGCCTGGACATACTCCAGCCCCATGAGTCAAGAAATGTTTTCCACTTCTATACCATCCCCTAACATAGTGTCTAAGCATCTCCATTGGAGTTTTGTATTTCAAAACACGAATGAGGACACCGTCCTGGAAAGTCACGACAACCAAAAGTTGGGGTCTCTCATGGCACAGAGCTGCTCTTAGAGCAGCAAGTCTTCTTTAACTGACATGACATCTTACAGATCGTCTTCAGAGACAAAAGTGGCCAAAAAAAAAAAAAAAAAAAAATTGAATGGGAAAAGCTCCTGACCAGCCACCACTTGCAGCACCAAAGATACAGCCTATGCTAACAGAACAGCAACATTACACAAACCAGCACCCCGAGGAGCACTCAGGCTTAGAAGTGACCAGCCTTGTGTGACAAGCAGCACTGGGATGGCCATCCAGCTTCTCATCACTAAGCAGTTGGAGGACAAGACGGTGATCAGGAGTAGTCAGCATGGATTCACCAAAGGGAAATCATGCTTGACCAACCTGAGAGCCTTCTCTGATGGAATGACTGGCTGGGTAGAGGAGGGCAGAGCAGTGGCACTTGTCTCCCTGGACTTCAGCAAGGCTGTTGACACTCTCTCCCATCCCATCCTCATAGGGAAACTCAGGAAGCGTGGGTTGGCTGAGTGGACAGTGAGGTGGCTTGAGAACTGGCTGGATGGCCGAGCTCAGAGGGTTGCGGTCAGTGGGGCAGAGTCTAGCTGGAGGCCTGTAGCTAGCGGTGTGCCCCAGGGGTCAGTCCTGGGTCCAGTCTTGTTCAATGTAGTCATCAGTGACCTGGAGGAAGGCACAGAGTGCACCCTCAGCAAGTTTGCTGATTATGCTAAACTGGGGGGAGTGGCTGACACACCAGAAGGCTGTGCTGCCATGCCCAGGGACCTGGACAGGCTGGAGAGTTGGGCGGAGAGGAACCGCCTGAAGTTCAACAACGGCAAGTGCAAGGTCCTGCACCTAGGCAGGAACATCCCCACGCAGCAGTACAGGCTGGGGGTTGACCTGCTGGAAAGCAGCTCTGCCGAGAAGGACCTGGGAGTCCTGGAGGACAAGTGAAGCATGAGGCAGCAACGTGCCCTTGTGGCAAAGGCGACCAATGGGATCCTGGGGTGCCTTAGGCAGAGTGTTGCCAGCAGGGGGAGGGAGGTGATCCTGCCCCTCTCCTCAGCCCTGCTGAGGCCTCACCTGGAGTCCTGTGTCCAGTTCTGGGCTCCCCAGTACAAGAGAGACATGGCACTACTGGAGAGCGCCCAGCGGGGGGCTGCAAAGAGGATGAGGGGACTGGAGCATGTCTCCTCTGAAGGAAGGCTGAGGGAGCTGGGCCTGTCGAGCCTCGAGAAGAGAAGACTGAGAGGCGATCTCATCAGTGTGTACAAGTATCTGAAGGGAGGGTGTCGAGAGGATGGGGCCAGACTCTTCTCCGTGGTGCCCAGTGATGGGACAAGAGGCAACGGGCAGAAACTGAAACGCAGGAAGTTCCATCTGAGCATGAGGAAAAACTTCTTGCCCGTGAGGGTGACAGGGCACTGGAACAGGTTGCGCGGCGAGGTAGCGGAATCTCCTTTGCTGGAGATATTCAAAACCCACCTGGACGTGATCCTGTGCGATGTGTGATTACATCTCAGTCTGGCAGCATGAGAGCAAGTGGGCACATTTAGCCCCAGAAGCCCAGCTCAAGCATCCTACAACCAGTGGGAGACCTCCAGGCTGCCACAGTGAAGGCATGGCTACAGAAGCCCAAGGCTTTCCAAGGTGGTCATGACTCATGATTGATCACTTCCTTTGTTTCAGGCTCCTGGTTCTCTACAAAGGAGAAAAATACCTCAAAACAGCACCTGGACCTAGGACAGTGTTAGAGCCATAAGTTCAACACACACACACCTCTGACAGCAAGCCAGCCCCCAGGTATTGCTGGGGAAGCCAGGCTAAGGGGGCAGCCTACAGGGACACAGCTCCTATGCTGGGGAGAGGGAATCAGGGCAGCTGGCTCCCCCTCTTCTAGGTGAGCTCAGCTCTGCCGCTCTTCACCTGCTGCAGGGTTGCCCACTAGGACAGTCACAGCAGAGCAGCAATGTCCCACAGGAATGAAACTATGGACTGTGCTGCCTGGCAGACATGCGGTGAGGAAGAGGCTGTGCTAAGCTGCAGCTGGAGAGACCCCCCCCCCCCCCAAAGGGCATAGGCAGCCCCAAAGCATTCGCATTTCTAGTTGATGTGTTCCTCTGAACAAATATCCACTGATAACCCTCTCATTGGGTTCAAGTATGGGCTCAAAGGCATCAAGTACCTTTAGGCTCACTCCCAGAGTGAGTGCAGTGAAATTGCAGCAAAATCTGACAGTTCCTCAAGGGTACCAGCCCCTCTTTGGGGAGCCCAGCCCCATTCAACAAATAGCTCATACAAAACAAGAGCAGCAGTGCAGAGGTTTCTCTAGAGACATTGCCGCCATGCAGGCTGTAGGGAAGGATACAGGCTGTATGAACTTCGTTCTGCCTCCCAAGCCGTCATACCCCATCCTTACCTAGGAGAGAGAAATAAATGTGTCCAGAGCAGTGCAACAGAGCCTTCACTACCTCTCCGTGTTGGTTAATGAGAAGCAGGAGAGCATAGCAGACCACACATCTGGGAAGGCGTTACAAGCACTTGGAAATACTCAAACACTTGTACTATGCCCTCACCTTAGGGGAATAAAAAAAAAAAAAAAAAACCACTAAACAAAAGAAAACACTCCACAGGCCCAATGGTATGAGTAGAGTTTCAATATCTTGGGCACCTTCTCAAGTAAGCAGCAGCAAGGCTTAGGATTTTGCGCCTGGGACTGAGGCATACAAGGAAAACACCCAAAGCTCCAGGGAGGTGGAGGAACATGACATGGAGGGTCATTTAATCTGCTGCCAGATAGGGAATGAGCATCTATCATCCCTGGAGCTCTGCAGGAGTGGGAAGTAGCCAGGTCACACCCCAAGATTTATTTTCCACACATTATGTGGCAAGGCAAAAGCCTCATTTGCTTCTTCCATTAGGGTCAGTTCAGGACAGAGGTGTGCAGTGCCAGCCCTTCACAAGCTCACCAACTAGACAGTCATACTCACAGTGCCCACGTGCTTGTGGGGACCCAGCAAGCTACCCGAGGATGGCTTCTTCGATAGAACAGAGTTCCTGATGAACGCTGGCAGGAGTCCTTTAAGAGTCTCATCCTCCAAGTCATCTGCCCAGTTCTGTCCCACCAAATAAAGAGGAAAGCCCTGTGACCCAGCATGATCTCTTGACTTTAATTCATGTACAGGTAGCACTAATGATGCAGACAACTATTTAGCTTAACAGTTACTCCCATACCATGGCTCAAGCCAGCGAACTGAAGCTTCAGACCTCCCACTAACGTTCACTGCTAGGAAGAGCAGCGCCTGGGAGAAAGCACGTGCACCCAGCAAACCTGGGAGACCAGCCTTCTTAGCAGACCTCATGACCCTCGTGGTCAGACCCACATTGTGCATTTGCCAAGCACATCCAAGATGGGATAATCTGCAGGAAGCACATGGGTCCCCATCCTCCCTCTCCTGCCCAATTCTAGAAGGCCTCTCTGACATAGCAATAAAGTGTTTCTAGGAGACAGTCAAGCAAAGCACTTTGGAGAATGTACTGTGGTTCTATAGATGGGCCAGTCTATGGTCACAGCATGTTATATGTGGGCCAGTCGGTCTGTTTCTCAAGTCTATTAACAGCAGAATTAAAGAGGTGATACAGAAGACAAAATTAGTCCTTTTACCTCCACTGTTTCCTTCAGAACTTTCTTTGTCAGATTTACCACAGGAGGCCTGCAAGAGACCCAAGGAGCGAATCAGCAGAGATTTACTGTCCAAGCAGAGCTGGCAAGGATAGACAAGGCCAAGCAAATAACAATGAAACTTGCAGTGTGATTATCAGGCAGCTGGAGAGCTATTCGATCTCACACAGCATCTACCAAGAAACAGAGACTTTGATCTCACTTAGAAGCAAAAAGAAGAGAGAGAACTCACGGCTTTTTATCCAGCTTCTGTCTTTTTGCAGGGCTGGAAAGAGATCTGCAGGGCTGATGTTCAGGGGTATCCACATCAAAAGTGGCATCCAGATTGATCTCATCGCTGTGGGCCGGGCGATGGAGCTTCGGGTGCCGCAGTTCCACGGGAGTGGGGCTGAAAGGCCATACAAAGTATCAGCTGTCAGGAGGCTACTGGTTGCCACCCAGCAGATATGGAAGACAGAGGCAAAAGCAATACTACTTAGTTACAAAACAGCAGTGGGAGTGAGATCACACCCCATCCTGCTGTACAAGTCCCCAAAAGTACAATCCAAATCCAAGAGTTTATAGTTTGGGACATTGACTAGTGTTTACTGTGGAACAGCATGTGCAGCAGCAGCACCAGAGAAAGGTATTGGCACACTGCTCCTCAGTATACACAACCCAGCTTGCTGAACTGGGGGTGACAGCACAAGCTCCCAGAAAGGAAAAGCTTGATAAAACGCAAAGGATGCTGTTTTTCAGACCAAGCCTCCATCAGGTTGGATTTCTCTGCCGGGCAAAGCTCTCTTGTCCCCAGACTCCTGGGCACACTCACTGGAAGGCCAACTCTGAGGTCTAACTGTGAGACAACCAGAACAGCAGCTTCCCTGGCAGGACATGGCAGCAAGAACAGTTCGTCAAAACCTAGCCTGTTCTTCCATCCCTTCCTGACCCAAACCCTCCAAAATATACACTTCCAGGTAAACCAGATACCACCTTGTTAGCAACAGGAAAAAGAACAGAAGCAACAAGACGGCTGTGCCACTGCAATGCCTGCCAGACTAGTGCATCTCTGCCTCCCCAGCCACTATCTAGTTAAACTGTCAGCTCTTAACTTTGGACCTGTACATACCCAAGGATGCACTTCACTAACCTTTCAAAGACTAGTCGGCTAAGTGTCTCTCTGGTTACAGATGGCACTTTCAGAGTATCCTGCAGGATTTCTATCTTCTTCTTCAAACTCTGGAGGGAAGAGGGGAAACAGACAGTGAGATAAGAAGAGATTTTTTTTTTTTAGCAGATACTTTTGCCTCTTCCATAATGCAGCATTGGGTGGAGCTCAGAGGTGGGTCACATAAAAGGAGACAGAGGGAAGGTGGGCTAGGTAAGCTGAGCAAATGACAGCATGACTCCTGGCTTTGCAGCTGCAAGCCATGGCCAGCTGCCAGTTACTGCAGACTGAGAAATGATGTTCTCACCAAGATCTCCTTATCTGCATTCTTCAGATCCTTCTGGGTGCTTTTTAACTCCTCCTTTGTCTTCTCCAACTCTGAGACTGTTTTCTGCAGCTGCAGAATAAGCATCCCCCCAGGAGCAGAGGGCTGGTTACAACACAGAGGTAAGGGAAACCACTGACCCCCTCCAAGAACAGTACACTCTGCAGCACACTCTACCTTCCCCCGTTTCAGGGCTCAGTTTTCCTGCGGCACAGTCCCTGACCAACCTCTTTATCTCCAATTAGTCCATAGCCAGTCTTTTCCTCAAGCTGCCTGCAGAGGGATCTCCAGGGCTGCTTGCCTAACACAAACCTTCATACAGTATTTCCCAAGCATTTATGCCTAATGGTGACAGCTTTTCCATGATCTAACACTGGGTGGCTGCATTCTGAACTCCTGCAAGACTTTGGACATACAAGGTCAAAGGAACTACAAACCACAGGCTGGACCATGGTTGTGCATGGACAAGCCTGATTCAGCAGGGAAGCATGACACAAGCCAGGGGTCTGAGCTGTACTGGCACATTAGGGACTTCAGGTGAGGTCAGGAGACCGGGCCAGCCCACACAGTGATGAAACAGTCAGCTTTCCATCAACCAAGGTAACAGAGCCCAGAGCTCTGATTGCACCAACTCACATCCTGTTGACCCCAAGCTACTGACTGCAATTTGGCAATGGCCCAGAAAGAAACAGGCCAATTCCTGCAGTAGCATCTTATTTAAGGTGTTAACTCACTTGGGAAGCTACAGAGCAATCTGAAGAGATCCTCCTTCTCCATTGCTTTTGAGGGCACTGCAACAGCTACGGCTGGGTGACAAACACAAGCCAAATCCACCCAGTCTCTCTCACTTCATGAGCTCAGACTCGTACGTGCCCCAGGGGACACCAGAGCTGTCTGCACCTCAGAAAGCCGAGCCACAGAGATGTTCTCGCGGGGAGGGGGCAGATTTGCAGCTAAAACTTACAGAAGGCGATTCCTGACCTGAGCAAACAGAGCCCAGGGAGGCCTGGAGCAGGGGGAGCACAGCAACAGAGACACATCAGCAGCTCTAAGTTTTGCATCACATCAGCTCCAAGTCCAGCAGAGCTTCACAGCTCCGAGCAGGATCAGCCCAGGGAGGCTCTGCACAGAGCCACCTGCATGTTCTCACCGCACAGTGCGACTCTCTCCTGCTTGGGACCAGCATCACGCAAGTGCCCTGGCTCAAATCAGTCAACTCATCTGCCCTGCTGAAATAGGGGACTGTTCAGAAGCACCAACAGCTGAAGGCACAAAGCTGGATGTGACTGTGGTTGCGCCAAGCCACAGCTCAGTCCTCATCGACTGGTGCTGGCTCCAAACTCACTGCTGTCCTTCCTAGGGGCCCAGCTCTGCCACAACAGGTGCTAGTAGCTTACCCAGCTCATGCTCAGCAGGATTCGCTCAGCTATTTGACAGACCAAAGGCAATACTGCTTCCAGAGCCCAGAGGAAGCAGTTGAATGCATGTGTGGTGCTGTGTTCAAGTCCAGGCTCCCTGCCAAACTCAGGCTAGCTCTGCACATGCTGCCCTGCCAAGGTCCCCAGAGACTGCACTCCTGCAAACAGCCCAGGAGCTGCTCACTCTCCAAGCATCACACCCTGACCCAGAAAGCCCAGTGTGACTCTTCCACATTACCCATACCACTTGAGTAGTGCTCAGTGAGGGAAGGGAGTCACCGCAGAAGGCTTGGATAACAGCTATGGACTGGGATCTTCAGACCAGTGTCACCCTTGTGACTTTCACACTCTCCTTTTACCTTGCTACTGACAGAAAACACTTCCTTCTTCAGCTTCTCTGTCATCTCACTAGAGATCTTCCGAGCCTCCTTTAAGTTTTCATATTCCCTGAAAAGAGACACAAGAGTCATGTTGTATTTGCAAGAGGATTGAGCTAGAACTTCTCAGAGACAACCCAAGATCCTTGTTTTGAAGTTCTGTAACTGTAAAACCACTGGATAAAACCCAGAATACACAAAGCCCTTCAAAAAACAGAGCCGAGTGAATCACTGACTGGCAGTGTGTCAAATATACAACGACACTGGGGAAAAAAAATTAACCTGCAAAGGATGTCATGCCCAAGCACGTGGAAGGACATGAACATAGCTCAACAGCAAAACAGAAACCAAAGCCAAAGATATTTCAGCCGTCAATGGAAGAGGAGACAGATAGACAGAACAGCTTCCACACTGGCAGTAAATAGAGGGCTTTGCTTTAAGTGACTTTTCAGAGACTAGAGCCCTGCTATTGGCCATGCACGCTCATTCCCCAGCTACACCACAGGGACCCTTGCCTCATTACAGCTTTGCATCAAACCTGCAATTATTCAGCTGCTATCAGAACAGACCCAAAGAAGCTGTGGTTTTGCCCAGCAGGACCAGATGGATTTGCAGATAGTGGATGGCAGCACGGCAGATTCAGTGATCAGAGGGCACACAGAGCACTTCAGGCCACAGCTGCACAGTGCGATGCAGCACAGGGCACAACTCTGAGCCCCTCATCCACTCATTTTCCCCCAGGCATGAGCGGAGGAGAACTGAGGGAATAATAATCACCTCCTAGGTGCACTGACAACTCTGGAGACCGTTCCCATGGTGACATGTGTGTCACTACAGTGACAATGGGAACAGTCCAGTGTGGCAAGCTCCCATCTAGGTCCCCAGGACCTGTCAGTCAAAGCCCAGTGGAGGCCCAAAGAGGCAGCAAGGGCCCCACAGAGCACGTGGGCCTGCTGCTACTCTGCAAAGGGAGCTCTCTCCATGCACATTCAGCAGAGGGAGCTCTCTCCATGCACATTCAGCAGAGGGAGCTCTCTCCATGCACATTCAGGATGGCACAAGTTGGCTGTGCCAAGCCTGTAGCACCTACTTTTTCAGTGAGACACAGTAGACTGCAAGCTGTTCCACTGCTGCCTGCCCAACTCCCATCTCTCGAATCATCTCCTCCACTTCGGGGCGCTGGCTCTGAAGCAACAGTTCAATCCTGCAAAATATACCCCCCCAACTCACGAGTCACAGCCAGACTGGGAAAGAGATTGGAGTCCTGGTTCCTCCCATGAGCTTGCACAGCCAAAACGCCTGCTGCAGGCATGCTCAACGCGGTAGGGGAGAAGATGCAACTGCCTCCCTACAAGCAGGGCTTTTTGTTAGGGAAGAGCAGAGCTAGATGGACTGAACAGAGATGGGGCAGCTGTACACAAACACTGTGCTTCGGGCCTATAGCCCTGCAGCTGACTCTGCCTGTGCTGGGATTCAGGCTCTGCCCGAGTCCTCTCTGGTAACACACATGCACAGGGCCATACTGGGAGTACTAGAGATGAAGTCAGTCTGCAAACAGTACGGTGCCTCACTGCTATTTAAGGAAAACAACTGTCTGGAAAGGAAGTAGTAGCAAGAGCACGGACAGGCAGGACCAGCAGGGGCAGGGTGCGGCAGTTTCCAACCTCACAGCATAAAAAGATCCAGCAATCTCAGCACACGGAGCTGGACGGTGCAGCAGAGACAACAGGACCTCTCCCTCCCTCTCTGAGGTGGGGAGAGGCATGGAGACCAGTCTGCTAGGCCCAGGGAGAGCCTGGGATCTCACCGCTCCATGGTTCTCAGTTTGTTTCGCAGACGGCGGGCCTCCTCCTTTGAACTTCTGTTATCCTCCTGCTGCTGTTCCAGGAATTTCATCTGTTTCTGCAGAGAAGCAAGTGCGCACAGACCATTAGAAAAGCTCTAGGGATTGTTAGAGAAACATCCTGGCTTATGCGCACTGCGGGCAGCTGGGAGCATACATTGGCTCTCAACACTATCACCACCTCAGCAGCCCAGGATTAGAGTTGAGCTCCCTCCCCACTGCACCCCTAGCTCCGCTGCTTGCGAGCAGAGCAGGGTCTCTGCTCCTTGCAAGCACAGCAGTGCTGATCGCAGGCTGAGTCTGGCACTGACACTGTTTTGTATCCTCCTTTCTGTTGGGAGCATTTGTGGAGTTGTGCATTACTCTGTCCTCAGTGACAATTTGTTTTTCAAAAGCAAGGTAGCCCAAAGCAAGTAAATCTTGCTACTGCATTCTCCTCCATATGTGGCTCAGCCCTTTTGCTTTAGCCTCCTAGTTATCCTAGCCATTAACTGCTAATAGCATAAATAGAACCGCTGCACAGGTCTCTTCCAAGATGTCTCAGTCAGAGGACACCCACCTGGGTGCACTCCTCACCCAGCCTGGAGGAGCTCCAGATCTATTGCAGGCATCACCTTTCTAGGCTCTCCAGTAGCAGGCAGCATCAAAAGCAAACCTCAGCCGAACTGAAAAAACATAAATCTGCAATTTGGCAGAGAGCGTGGGAAAGCTGGCCTGAATTAGCACCCTTTCAATGATGCTGTGTTGTCTAGGTTTGTGTGTGCCCAGTCACCTAGCACATAAAGCTTCAAAAGGTTCTGGGCCTGGTTTTAACACAATACTGACTCCAGAGAGAAGACTGGCCAAAGACTAAAGCCTCTTAAGTTCTAATATTAAGCTTCCTTTCACATAGGATATTTTATCTGCTTCCTGCCAAAGAAACCAGATAGGTTTGAAACTACTGGGACTTCGCAGAGGGACAGTGTTCCTAGCTCACATGTTGCTCTTGCTTCAGCAGAGCCCACCTTTTCCTGTTCTTAAGCAGAGCTCTCCACATATCAGACCCTACAAGCAGTGTTTTGTGCCAGGCCGGGGATGCCACTTTCTCTGAAAGACAGGAGCTAACTCTCACACTAAAGAGTTAGCAGCAACAACAGTGCTAGCAGAAAACAGGAATGGCTCACCGCTCGTAAACTTGACCTGTGCCACAGCTAGTTAAGCCCGTATTTGTAGTGCAGAAGTTTAACATTTTAGTCTTTAAATGATGCAGGATTAGACTGTGCTTGGCATTCAGCTAAGGAACCCTGTGCACCACAGAAAAGACAGCCCCAGGTCCCTAATCCTTCTGTCCTGCGCAGCTTTTAATAGAAGAACATGAGCACACACAGAGGGTCTTCATGACAGGCAAGGCAACCACAGAGCCTCCTTCTAAGATGCCAAGCAGGAAAGCTGAGCAGAGTGCCCTTGAACTGAGCAGCAAGCACCAGCTTCTACTTTCACAGTTGTTTTTTCAGGAGTAGGAGGCACTAGTAAACACAGTCTCCTGCCACTGGTACACCTGGGATCCTGAAAGCATCTCACGCATGACCCAGACTCAGGCTGCCTTTGCAGCCAAGCAGCTTGGATATAATCCCATGGTCAGGCAAAAAAAGCCCATGGCAGGACCTGTGCAGCACTAATCCCTCACTGTATGTCCCCTTCTGCCCTGTAACAGCATCACGTTGCTAATGGCAGGCAGACCTATTGGACTGGCTCCTAAGAGCCCGGTCATTTTAGACATGGCATATAGCAAGACAGCACAGATTCATATGGTCCTTCTACAAGCTCTCATACTGGCCATTTGGCCTGGTAGGTCAAGGAAGAGATCCCTCTTCCAAACAGAGGGGATCTCAGAAAATGCAGTTCACTTCTACTCTCTCTTTCAGTCCACAGCTTGCAATCCCACCTGGCCAAAGTCTTTCCACCTGTGACAGCTAGCCTCATCTTCATCACACAACAGAGACGGTCCAGCCCACGCCACTGCCAAGGCAAAGTCACTCTCCTCAAATCCCAACAAAGACATCCCAAAGTGGATCTTGTACTTATCCCCCCACACAAACTGGCTGTTTACGAACCATATATGACTACATACTGAGTCACCACACATTGAAACACAACAGGAATATTTGATTCCTGGACATCACACATTACTAACCTAACCGAAGGAAAGCCCTGGCAACAGAACAGACAGAAGAGTTAGCTGGATCAAATCCTACTCAGTTGAAGCTCCCCCTCCATATATTTCCATTTGATTTCCCTTCCAATCAAACCGTGAAGCTAATTTTCCTTGAATCCCGCTCAGCCTAAACCCATTTCAGAAGAACATGCTACTACAGGGAATCAGTGTTTCTGCAATGGGGCACTGGGGCCGATCCCCACACTCGGTTCACGCTGGTACCTTTATGAACAGTGCTGGCACTTCATTAGCGAGGCTCAGCCAGCTTCCCCCAGGTTAGGCTGGCACCTCTCCCCCACCTCTGTCCTTGAGCACACAGCCATTCATGAACAAGCCGCACGCCTGGCTTTCATGCCTCTGAATCACCCAGAGCGTGAAGTGCATTCACTACCTCCAGAGACCAGTGACACCGCTTGCTTTGAATTAATAAAGCCAAAATGAAAACCCAAATGCAGCTCTGCTGCCTTCCTGGCATTCCTACTCCAATTCCTGAGATCAGGGTAACAGGAGTCTCAGGGCACTGGAACTCAACTCCCACCAGCACCGAGCCATCCAGTCTCTGCATCAGCAGGGCCTGTGGAGAACCTGAACAGAACTAACACCAACTGAGAACGGATAGAGCCGAAGTCCTCCGGGGAGATGGGAAAGATACCTTCAGAGAGGAACACAGCATCTCCGTCTCTCCCAGCACCTTCTGGAGTGACTCTATTGTGGCGTTGCGCACATCCAGAGTGTCCCTCAGCCCATCCACGACAGCCTGGCATTCCCGCTTCTCTTTCTCTGGAAAAGAAAAGGAGTCATGACCCAGCAACCCAGACTTCAGCAGCCCCACAAGAAAGGGCAGTATCACAACAAACACTGCTTGTAGTCTCAGGTTCCAGGTTGCTAGGGGTTGGCCATTCTTGTAGAGAGCCATTTCCCTAAGTGCTGTCAGCAACAGGGTCTGTGCTGAGCAACTGTTTCTCCCAGAGCCAACAGGCTTCAGGATTTTCTCCAGCAAAGATAGTAAGTTCCCTTTAATAGCTTTCCTGTGCCAACCCTGCTAGCATTAAGCTGGTGCATCTTAACTCTTGCATGCTTTCAAAGCCAAGCTTGCATAGGGAAAGCTGTTTTCTCAAGTTAAACTGAGCCATCACAGCTAGAGAGCTGAGCCTGTTGTCTCCACATGGAGCCTTATAGAGCACTTTGGAGGGCTGTCGGGGCAGCTGTGTACAGTGACAGTGTGCCTGCATGCACAGCAACCACGCTGCTGCATCATTACGCTGCTGCCACTTCCCTCCCCACAGCACACATGGCAGAGGGCAGGAAGCAGTGT